TGGTTGGTTGTTTTTTTCCTTTTGGTGTATCCAGTATGCCTGATTTATATACTTGAGACAGCTGTGGTTTCATAGTGGACAGAACCAGAATAACAGTTCGTTTTTTAAAGAATCGGAAAAGGCATAATGATTAATATGAGGCTTTCAGATACTTTTGCTACTAACATCTATTAATGCTAAAGAACAGTTTTCATGAGTGCTTAATCATAAGCAGAGTGTAGGAGAATATGAATGGCTTGATCAATATGTACTACCACGAGGAGTATTGTTTAGGCTTCGGAAACAAGGGAATGTGGCTAAGTAGAAAATACAGACGTGCAATTTATAATTTCTTTTATCCAAAAGCTGAAAAATGAGGGGCTTAAGTGGTGCATCTGCATTTACTAGGAAATCTATCCAATTTAATGTTTATTATCAATTAAACTTAATATGCAGTCAGTTTTCAAGGTTTCATTGCAATTCCTTTGTCAGGAAGAACACTTGCTATTTAGAAAGCCACAGTACATCAGTGAATGGGCAAACAATTCGGAGCAGTGATAGTTTCGATTAAGATTTTGTCCTCTGTACAGTTTGCTTTAGTTGATTACTGCAGTGGTTGTGTTCACACCACCATGGTTAAGGAAGGTGTTGTTTTGTGAAGTATTGTGTTATAACTAAGGCTTTCATATCTTCTTAAATGTATGCTGGGGTTAGCAAGCAATGCCCGCTATTTTGAATTTACAGAACTAGTCATTGGTGGACAAACTTCGCAGAATCACAGACGGGTTGAGGTTGGAAGGGACCTCTGGAGATCGTCTAGTCCAAGCCCCCTGCTTAGGCATCCCAGATATTAACTATTAGATATTAAATGTCAGGATATTAAATGGCTCTTGCTTTTCTTCTGTAGTTGTCCACATGGTAAAAGCTAACCGCTTTAGCCTTGCAGAAGTCACCTGTTTTCTGCAGTGCTGTTAATTTGAAGCCTTAACTGCTCTGGTATCATTTAAGGAATAATATAACTGAAATCACATTGGCCCAAGTGGACTGTGTCTGCCCTTGCTTATAAGCTGTGAGGCCGTGCTTCCTGACAGCAAGCGCGACGGTGGTGACTGTGTTATTGTTCCCACTCCGGAACTGAACTATGTATTTTGCACACTTTTCTTTACCCAGCAAGAGCCCTCCTCAAATGCATCCCTTTACATGACACTTTCATATTAGAAATTTCAACTGCATGCTTACCTTTTTGGTAACATTGATTCTCCTCGCCCAGTGAATATCTTAATTTGTAGTTGGCTCTTCGGAGCAGTCGATGGATCAAGGAGGTGGGACAGGTGTCATCTAAGCGTGTGGGGAGGGGGGAGTTGTGTTTTTTGTCTGTGTATGTCTTTTAACTGCTTCATTTATCCAGCACTTAGTAAAATGGGGCATCAAGCACTGATGGCTTGTACGTGCTACTGAAGAACAAATATTTGTATTATTGGGTTGAAGCAGTGCCTATGTGTCCCGGGGTGGCTGCGCCCTTCTTTGCTGGTGAGAGATGCTCGCTGTTAGAACGTACAGTTTTGCTTCTGTTTTTACTTTGCTGTAGCATGGAGATAAGAGGGATAATTATGTGGGTCAATCCAAAATGAGGTGCTATCAAGTAGACTTTGCACTTTTAGACTGTATTTGATTAGCTGGCAGACATTAGGGATTAGGCAGCTCTCAAATGCTTTTAAAAAGAAAATTTGTGTAGATCAAGCACCTCAGCTGTACATGTATGGCAGTTTTTGTATGGTTTATTTTTGTATGGTTTATAATAGTTTGACAGTGGTATTTTTTTCTTCTGTAGCATATTACGTCAGACAGCTACATTCCTTGCCTTGCTGATCTCTGCAAAGCGCTCTGGGAAGTCATGCTCAGCTATTACCGAACGATGCAGTGGCATGAGAAGCATGACCAAGATGAGGCAGAAACTGCATCTTCTGGTAAGAAACTGTTTTGGAAATAAAACTTCTGATATTTGAAATATATATATATAATACATATAATGTTTTTTTTCTCAAGTCATTAATTTATATGTAGATGGCTTTATGATCTTTACTCTTGCGTGCCTTCAGCATTGTTGTTTATAACGCGCAGTAATGACTGAAATACTCATTGAAAGTTTGTTGTCTTCAGGATAATGTTCTTCTTTTAATGAATATATATGTGTGCAATTACCAAAGGTATGAACAGTTTTATTTTAAATGGTATATATTGTTTAAATACCCAGAAGTCAGCTATGGTAGGCTACTACAAAATCTTAGGAGTTTTTCTTTTAAAGTAAAATCCCGGGTGACAAACCAGACTTTTTTGAGCGATGTTGACTCTTTCATTGCGTGTTATGCTTAGTAGATTGGGATGCTGGATTGTGTACTGGGAGAGGTGACTGAAACAGTGAGGTATGATTCTGTCATAAATAATTTTCATGATTTT